TTTGTAAAACAACCTCTCCCCCACTAGTTACATAAACTAATACTGCACTTGAAAGAGGGTGAAAAAAAAGAGTGAAGATACTTTGTACAGACCCATTAAAGATGTTAACTAACTATTCCAAATGTGCTGTACTACTTTCAAGCCAATCATATCAAAGCAGTGTATGGACTTTCCAACCCAGCCAAATAAAGTTTCTTTAATTGAACAAAAAAATGTTGCCAATATAGAAATTGCGAGGCTATCATAGATTTATAAAAAATCATGCCCTCTAGAAATGTATACACATCCTAAAGCTGTTCTATGGCTTTGGGATAGAACTAAAGAAAAAATAAGTTACTTTCCCTTGCCAGTGACTTCCATTGCAAACCAGAGAGCTTTAAAGACAGGGAAAGCCATGAAATAGAAACTGCTAGCCAGCTATTTAGCAACTAATCTTTTCTAACGTATTTAGAGGTCAGAACCAGTTTTAATTGTCTACTCTTCCATGATACAATACAGTCAAGTCAGATATTATGCTCCTCATATTTTCTAAAAAGCTGCTTTATACATCTGCAAGCCAGGAATTGGTGTGGTGACTCTCAGAGCAGGTACGTGAACTTCACAGGAAGAACAGCAGCTCAGTCTGCTCAACATCACAGCAGAGTTGGCAAACTCTCCTGCCTGACAATGGCAAGAATCCCTCCTGCCTTAATCTGCTCTGGTCTGGTTCCTGGTCCATGGTCAGTTCCAGACATGCTCCAATTCCCCCTGGACTCCTGATTCTGGTTGTGACCCCTGGCTCTGATCATTAACCCTAACCATCTCTATCATAGTTTCTGACAATGGTAGCATTTATACATTTAGGAAATAGAAAAACTTATAAGTAATTTATATCAATTTCCAGACAACTTTCCTACTCCCCAAAAAAGTTCATATATGATATAATGGGGAAAGAACTTATATAGAAAAATGGCCTTACAGGAATGGCATTTGACCTGGTAAAGAGGACCAGCTCCTCAATCTGTAGCACAATACAATTTTTTAAGATACTGTTTCAATAGTCTTGTGCCACTCAGATGCACCAGACTGGCAACATTATAAATTATCATCATGAGCAAAAATAACCTAATGCTGTGGCATGCTGTCTGGAGTGGCTCACAACTGAGTGCTACTCTTAGTTCAGACTGTTGGGGAAACGGGACAGACACTGCCCAAGTGATGGTATATTCTATAATTAGATTTCACCAAATCAGCAACAAATATTAGCCATACCATAGCCATGGACAGTCCCTTTAAGCTCTCCAGCCTATATAACCACCCAGACAAATTGGACTTTATGATGAAATGTTATTAAAACCAAAAATCACCACATATTAGGTTACTCCCAGCCCCAAAGGGCCAATCACTTACCTCAAGTCAGTGGATGCCTGTGATCTTACTTCAAGAACTTTGTTGGTGTAGCCAATTCTTCAGTAAAGAAACAAAAGATGTATTCGATATGAAAAGAAATAAGAATTATGGGGATGAAATCAGGTAAATAATATATTAACAGATGAGTCCAAGTGTGGAAGCCCAAAATAGTAACAAAGATGTAGTAATCTGCCAGTTTTCCATAAATCTCTCAGAGTTACCTAGAATGGCTCTAAGAATCTCTGTCTAGTTGCTCAGTATTCCTCTCTGGTAGAATCCATCAGCCCAGAGATATAGGATTATTCCCTTAAATCAGCAGTTATAGATTCTGATCCCTGATGAAGAATGTCCCTTTAGTCTTTGACCTCAGGTACCCACCTTAGTGACCACTTGCTTTGAAATTAGCATGTTTGCTAAAGTCCTTAAGCCCTTTAGTATTCACAAAATTTCTTTGATGAGTAATTTAGTTAGTGATATATGTTATGCAATTGTTTGCCATTATATTACTATAAAACTAGATAAGTGAAAGCAATACAGGTAACATTTATTGGTTTTCAGGAAGTTTACACACCAAATAAATTATCCTCTTAATAGTTGTAGCCAGACAGGAACCCCCCTATAACATCCATTTTTGCTTGCCTGGAGCATATAGGGCACACAGAGCAGAAGGCCCAGGCTGCTGTGACCGTGAATGGCTGTAAACAGAGATACGCCAATTGCTGACCAAGAGGCTGCTGAGGAGTGCCCTTGGCTTAATCCCATATTGATACGAACACACAGCTGTCCGTGGGGGGAGGAATCTCTCGCCCAGTAAAAAATGTCTAGTACTCACAATTTAGTTATCTCTCTTGCAAGTGTAAATTAACTTGAAACTTGCTTGTAAGAACTGGTGTCACAAAAACAGACCAGTACAATTTGGCATCTTAGATAAGAGAGAGGATACGGGGCCCCAGGGGTATAAAGATGAGTCCAGCAGCACATTTACTCTGAGTGTCTACCATCTATCTGCTGGTCGGGTTAGGTGTTTGACCTCCCGAGGTTCCAAGGGGACGCCCACCTCGTATTCGTCTTTCCTGGGAATTGAGGGACTGGCCCTGGCTTGACCCGCTGGAGTCGAGAGGCACAGAAGGGGGTAAAAATTGTACCTGGATGTGGTCCTTTGTCTTAAGTGTACACATAGACTTAGAGCTCGTTAAAGATTAAGCTGTCACTTGGTACCATTATTTCTATTTTCTATCTTTATTTTCTTTGTAACCATTTTTAAGATCTATATTTGCTAGCAGTTAAGAAAGAGAGCAATAGCCATTGTAACCATATGCTTTTATAAGTCTTTTTAATAAACCTGTATCTGTTTAAGTTTTTAACCTGACTCCTTCAGTTGCTATAACAGAACCAAGCACAATTTAAAAGAACTTCAGCCAGTCATAAGGGACAGGTATAGGAAGAGCTTGGGCGTTTGGATTTGTGTCACTCCCAGGTGATAGATCCGTTGGGGCATCTCTCAGTCTTTCCTAGACTGCCTGCTGCGAAGGGATCTTGTATTCTAGCAGCTAAACTCTGAGATGTAATAGGCTCTTCCTATAGGCCCAGGGCATTTGTCAGTTTGTTGGCTGCCTTCTGCGACGGGACCCCGGTCCTAGCAGTAAAGTCACGGATGTTAAACCTCTTCTCAGCACACACACACACACTGCCCTGACCGTCAGCTGACAATAGTAACACACACCTTTGATTTAAGGTTAAGTAAGTACAGGATATAGACATATGAAAGCAATACAGTCAACATCTCTATTGATTTTTATTAGCATACCAGTGAATTAGTTTGAATACATACTACTCTCAGTATTATTATGATATTCACAAACAAGTGAACTGGCATATTGCTTTTATATGAGTTGGTCTGTCAGCGTCACAACCTGTTCAACTATACCTTAGTATTTCATCACTATATCTGTCATTGTTTATGATTTCAGTGAGTACTAAGTGTATGTAAGGAAAAAGACATTGGTTGCTAAAATGAGCTGAAAGCATGCACATTTACAGCTCTAAAAGTCTTGATGATAATTACAGAAATCAGTTATGGTAATAGAGATCTGCGTTAAGCTAAGTAAAAAGATAGTTCTGGGTAGCAGAGATCAGCTCAGGCATACATAAAAACAATATGTTTGAACACTGCTGGTGAGAAATCACTATGTTCAACATCATATCTTGGAAATCAGATCATAAGACAGATTGCAGTTGTTATGTTTTCAAGTCTTTACAAGTGTTTTTGAAAATAATGTTATATGTCGTTTATGAAATGTATTTGAAATATTGGGTACAAATGATCTAAGCATTAGTAGTTTAGAAAAGGGCGGCTCACCTTTTTATTACTATAAAATTTAGTTTAGATTGTTTAAAATGGAAAATATATCTAATTTCCTTCATTTGTGGAAAACTCAGAGATGGATTTTATTCAAGGTTTCTGAAAAAAAATCACCTTTGGTCAGAGACCAGGCATGAAAAATTCCAGTGTATAATGTGAATATTTTACTGGTTGAACCTCTCTAGTTTGGTGCCCTCAGGATCTGACTCGTGTTGAACCAGAGAATTTGCCGGGCCACGGGAGGTCAATATTGTCTAGCAGCATTATCAATACTTCTGTTACTGGGCTGTTAGAAGAGACATTTAGGGATAAAATTAGAACTAAATAACAGCACAGAACACTGTCGGCCTGTCTGCTCAGCAGGGCTAATGCCGAAATAAGCTATTCAACTTGAGCTACGTCAATTACATAGCTTAAATTGAAATAGCTTATTTCGGCTTTTGGTGCTGTATACTC